ACCTTCAGTAGTTCGAGTCGGTGTCATTGCTCTGATATGTAACACTCGGGGGGATGAACACTTGTCGTTTTTTATTGTTGGTTATTTAGTTTTTGAACTCTAAGTTGATTATTACTAAATATGTGTTGTTTTGAGTTGTTGTAACGATGATAAAGATGTTATTAAGAATTTGGTTGCGTAGATGTTTAGATTGTTGAATTATTTAATTATTGTATTATGCTGATGGTTCATCCAAAGTTTTAAAGTATTATATATCCACGATGAATGCCATGAGTTTTTAATGATGAATTTGTGGCATCCTGATTCATTTGCATGAATGATTTTATAACTTTGATTTATTTATATAATTGCCGGGTAGAATTAGGGTGTTACAGATATCATCCTTTGATCTTGTCTTCTGATGGACTTCAAGATGTTGATTAGAGATGATTCCAAAAGATCTTCTTTTATTTAAACCTTTCTTCTAATGGAATACTATTGATGTTGAATGAAGGTGGGTATTCCATGAATTCTCCGAGTCTTTAGAATCTTGACTTTGTCTTCAGAAACATTAAAAGCAACTGTTTTGGTGAACCGGTCTTGACTTCTGATCATGGAGTAGATGCCTTCTCTATATGTATTCAGAATCTTGACATTGTCTTTAGACTTGTAAGCAACAACTCTTCTAATGAACTAGTCTTGACATCTGATCTTTTGCGTTGGAAGCTTGTTTCTTATATCCTCTTGACTTCTGATCTTGAAGCAACAACTTATCAAAAACTCTTTCTTCTTGGACACTCATTAAGATTATTTTCTTATTTAAAATTAAGCATTCCATAGAACTACTGATGTTTCTTTAGAAACAAAATGCAATGGTTCTTCTTCTGAGTGATAAGGTGATTCTGATGTTATCTTGATTAAGACTATCCAGAATTCTAATTTTGTATATGCACACTCAATGAAACAATTAGAACTAAAATTAATTATCATAAAATATATGATTGTTATCATAAAACTTAGAGATTAAACATATATTTAAATCTTGTTTTAACAATAATATCATCATATCAACATAATTCATCATAATAGCATACATCATAATATTAAGTCAACATATACATTATACATTCATAATGTATAGACACTGGAAAAATAAAATTATTTATTTATTTTATTCCACCAAAATAGAGTTCATCGTGTTAGCTTTCCAGTGCTTCAAACGGTACTTGATTTGCACTTATGCTTAAAACTTTATTGTCGAAATGATTTCACATTACGAAAACCCGATAGCTGTTATGGCCACCCATAATGGCCATTAAGGCCCGTAATGCTCAAAATCCTAAATTTCATTTTTCGCACGTTACTTGTACAAAAATATAGAGGGTTATTACGTCCACCTATAACAGCTATTACCAGCCGTAATAGAGCCCAGAAAACCACTTTTTCTACGCGATTTTGTGCAATCTCTCTTATTTGTTAGTCTTGAAACAAACCCTAAGCCTTAAGTTTTGACCCACAACAATCTCAAAATATATCATATCATATGGTACATAATTCAGGGGAAATAAACACATCACTACTCAATTCACTTCATCAATTTCATCAATTAATCACTAAATATCAACGATTCATCAACAAGATTCAAGCACACATACAGAAATCATGAGGATGCAAGAATACATAACCATGGAAAACCTAATTACTACCATAACCCATCAGTATGCATTCCGTTATAGAGTTAGAGCCCTACCCTTGCCTTATATTGACGATTCTAATCTCCTACAACAAATTCCTTTGTCCTAGACTCAAGTGCACTCTTCTGCTCTTCTCTCTTTTCACAATAAGTTTTCACGTTCTTTTCTTCTCACTTCCTTGTTTTCCAAATGTTAACCTCTAGACCCTTAAATCTTAATTTCCACTTTACCCTTCTCCATTTAAATAATTATTTTAGTTTATAATTATAAAATAAATACTCTTGTTATTCTAGTAATAATAATAAACTAAAACACTAGACATCTCTCTACACTCTTATGTCTCTATGTCATTAGTCATACACCCCCAAGCTTAATTATCTATAATTTTTAAGATAACCACTTATCGCCAAAGCACCACCACTCATTCTGGTATTCATTAAAACACACAAAAGCACCATATCACATAATTACTTAATTAAAAATAATTTAAACAAAAAATGGGGTGTTATACTTCTGACCAAGAATGCTTCCGACTTTTCTTGCCAGAAGACGCCCTCAGAGCCTACTCTATCTCTCATATTGAGGTTCGATCAATCAGACGCAACTCTTGCCCCTATAGACTACTCTGCAGCTCTTTAATTCTCATGGTACTAAGATTCTTAGAGTGTTAAATTGCTACAACAATGTAATCCAATTGAGGAGTAACAGATATTAATACCTTCTCAATGATTACCTGTTTAGAAAAAGTTTCTCCATATAATTTCATCTCATTTGTGATAAGAATAACTATAGAGAAATAATCTGGTACCTTTTCATTGTTCTTCATGTCGAGATTCTCATACTTATAACATAGAGATTGAAACTTCACCTTCTTAACTGATGCATCACTATTGTAGCATAGTGTCAGTATATCCCACGCAACCTTCACCATCGTTGAATCAGTGATTTTCTCAAACACATTCACATCTACACACTGATGGATATAGAACAACACTTTCTGATATTTTCGTCCTCGTATCTCGTTTTGTGTTTCTATGATCCTCTGTCGCATATGTTGCAACTAGAATGTAACAGTCGATGACGAGATCAAGAACGTCTTGAGAACAGAACATCACACATATTTGAATCATCCACCGATTCCAATTTTTTCATCCAGCACTAGAAGCTTGGTATTAAAACTATTTACGTCGTTAATCTTTGTTCTTGTGCATTAAAACTCACTTAGATCTCATATCTTACCAAAGAAGTGTGTTTTCCGATCCCAAAAAATCAAGAAATGCAATTCTGTTATGATTCCGATAGTAAATTCTATGCAAATTCGAGAAAAACAAAATCAATTCAACACGAATCCCGTACACTTATATGTCTTTGTGAATCGAGCCAAAGATCTAGATAACAATTTTTGGAGAACAAGGTTGAAGATGAAGATTAAGATGGAAGAAGGGAGAGAAAGAGAAGAGATAGAAAACAATTATAACAAACTTTTGAAGAGATAGAAACTTCATTCACTACTTACTTATAAAAGTAATTACACTATGGTGTTTAAATACAATAAAATAAAAATGACACGTAAGAAAACTATGCCACACAGGAACTATTAAAACAAGTTCACAAAACAAAGATGAATTCGATAAGCTAATCAACACAACTTCTAGAACAAGAACCTTAGAAACTTCTACTTCTGAGTCAAAATATTGCTTCTGAATATGAATTACTTATAACATAAATGATATTTCGTAAGAGAAACGTGAGAATGAAAATACAGACATAAATAAAAATTAGAAAATAATTAGTGGCGTTTTATCTATTTTTAAATTATAAAATAACGATAAAATTGAGCAGGGGGTAACCCCGGACAATGCATACTCGTGAAAAATTATGTAGGGTAATCCCTACAACACATTACGTCTCCTTAATGTTTGTCTACCATTCTGACTTTTAAATTAACCAAGTCCCTTTCCAAGTAAAATTCAACGTTCAATTAAAGTGTGCTAACAAATACCACTTGTAATGTATAAATTTAAAATACAAGTATTTAAAAAATGCGGGGTTACCCCATGCAATACACAATTGAAATATTTTTAGAAAAAGTTACCCTTCACAAAATTAATTTAATTTTTTTATTAAAATTTTTCATTGCGAAGGATTTACCCCTAGCTACATAATTTTTTTTCAAAGGAGTTTTACCTTTGACAACGACAGAGCTAAAAATTTTAATTTTCAGGACAACATATTAAATTATAAATTTTAGCATTATATATATATATATTTTAATTTTCAGGACAACATATTAAATTATAAATTTTAGCATTATATATATATATATATATATATATATATATATATATATATATATATATATATATATATATATATATATATATATATATATATATATATATATATATATATATATGGATAAGGATTAAATGACACAAGGTGTCAAATTTAATAACATAACACCTTTGATAATTCTTTATTGTATATCTGTAGAACAAAATCCATTATTGAATTGAAAGTTATCATCAAATAGATCATAGCTATAAATTTAATATCAATGAAAGTTATTTGATATTCTTACCATATATATATATATATATATATATATATATATATATATATATATATATATATATATATATAAAATTTCAAACCACAAGTATTTATATTTATATTTATATATATCTAGATATACAAATTCAAAACACATGTATTTATATATACACTTCTAGATATATAAATTTAAACCACAAGTATTTATATTTATATACTTCTAGATAAATAAATTCAAAACACAAGTATATATATATATATATATATATATATATATATATATATATATATATATATATATATATATATATATATATATATATATATATATATATATATATATATATATATATATATATATATATATATATATATATATATATATATATATATATATATATATATATATATATATATATATATATATATATATATATATATATATATATATATATATATATAATTTTAGATATATAAATGTAAAACACAAATATTTATGTATATATACTTCTAGAATAACTAAAGGGACAGGAAAAAAAATAGAAAAACTTAAAAATTAATTATTTTTATATAAGACCCAAAAGTAAAAAAAAATGAAAATAGAAGAATAAAAAGTAAAAAATCTATCATACATATTTATCCAATCAAATATTATTAATATGTCAGCTCCTACACAATCAAATACACCATTACTTTTACAAGTGACACTGTATATATATCGGCACTCACATTCCTTTCTAACAAACTTAACCCTTTCTAGCAAACTCAATAAAAATGGCCGCTTTCTTTCTCACCCTTATCTCTCTCTTTTTTCTTATCATCACACTGAAGCTCTTGTTTTACACAACAAGATTCAAGAACCTTCCACCGGGTCCACCGTTTCTTCCAATAATTGGAAACCTTCATCAACTCAAAAAACCCATCCACCATACTTTCCAAACCTTATCACAAAAACATGGCCAAATATTTTCTCTTAGGTTAGGTTCTCGTCTCGTCGTTGTTGTTTCTTCGTTAAAAACAACACAAGAATTTTTTACCAAACATGACATCGTTTTAGCGAATCGACCTCAATTCTTATTCGGAAAATATATCAACTACAACTACACCACATTAATACAAGCATCATATGGTGACCATTGGCGCAATCTCCGTCGTATAATAACAACCGAGGTACTCTCATCTAATCGTTTAAATTCCTTCTTGGAAATACGAAGAGACGAGATAATGAGACTTATACAAAAGCTAGTAAGCGTTTCATATCATGATTTTTCAGAGGTGGAACTTGCGCCAATGTTTTCAGAATTGACATTCAACACAGTCATGAGAATGATGTCAGGGAAATGATATTATGGTGATGATTGTGATGTGAGTGATGTTGAGGAAGCAAGGTTGTTTAGAGAGATAATGAAAGAGATTCTGAGTTTAGGAGGAGCAACCAACATTAGTGATTTTTTAGGGTTTTTAAGGTGGTTTGATTTTGATGGTTTGGAGAAGAGTCTTAAGAGGATAAGTAAGAGAGCAGATTCATTTTTACAAAGACTAATTGATGAACATAGATTTGAAAAGAGGACCACTAATACTATGTTAGATCATCTCTTAAAACAACAACAGTCACAACCTGAATATTACACAGACCAAATCATCAAAGGACTTATCATGGTAAGTAGTTACAATAATTTTTGTCAAAGTAGTAATAATCACTATAAACTCACACACACAATTGTAAGTACATGCTTCCAATCTAGGCCAATAGAGATTTGTTAATGCTTTGTTAAAATTGAGTTATAAAGGCATAAAAGAAAATAAAATTATTTTTCTAAGTTTTCAAGTGATATTGACATTTTGTTGAATGTTTGTAGGTTATGCTTCTTGCAGGAACTGACACATCATCTATAACTTTAGAATGGGCTATGACCAATTTATTAAATAATCCAAATATATTAAAGAAGGCAAAAGATGAGTTGGACACTCACGTGGGACAAGACCACCTAGTAAATGAACATGATATTTCAAAACTTTCTTATCTTCAAAATATTGTTTATGAGAGTCTCCGATTACATCCAGCTGCTCCACTATTATTGCCTCATTTTTCTTCAAAAGATTTTACAATAGAAAAATATAATATCCCACAAAACACAATTTTAATGGTCAATGCATGGGCCATTCATAAAGATCCAAATTTGTGGATTGATCCTATATGTTTTAAGCCCGAGAGATTTGAGAAAGAAGGTGAGACAAATAAACTACTTTCATTTGGAATGGGAAGAAGGGCTTGTCCAGGAGAAAATTTGGCTCATCGCACAATGAGTGTAACTTTAGGTTTATTGATTCAGTGTTTTGAGTGGAAACGTATAGGTAAAGATAAAATTGACATGGGCGAAAAAAAAGGAGTTACTTTGGAAAAAGAGATTTCCTTAAAAGCAATGTGCAAATTGCGTCATCCAATGAAGATTGAAAATGCTTTCTAATTTAGTAATATTTATATTTTTTTAATAAGAGATGCATGATATAATCATCTCTAAATTACTTTTAAATATGTAATTCCAGAATAAAATCAATAGAATTAAGGATGTTTTTTAATTAATTAATGTTTATTTTTGTCCAAAAGTCTATAAACTTTTTATATGTCTTTAAATTATCCATTATAATAATTAAGTGATTACCATTCCAACTTATTTTATGTCATTTTTTCTTACATTTATCTTTTTTTTCTTCATATGGGTGAAAAATCATTCTTTCATCTCTTTTTCTTTTTCTAAAGATAGAATCTAATAAAACTAAAGAGGAATAAAGGATAAGAATGAGGGGGCCAAACTAAAACTCTCTAAGATGAAAGTCTAAGTCTAAAAATATACCTAATTTATCATACAAGAAATTTTTAGATATCTCCTCATGAACATTGAGAGAACAATAATTTCCTCTGTCGTTTTTATAACAATATAAAAACATTAAATCATCATGATAATAAGATATCACTCTATCATTTTTAAATTAAATATAGAAAAAAAAATAAATCAAATAATTCACATTCAATAAGTATGTATTTTGTGCATTTGTTTACTAACTTTCTTTTTTTTTTGTTTTCTGATTTCAAACAAAAACAGACTTGGGCGTTTTTACTAATTCTTAACCCCCATTTTTACTTTTTAACCCCCAAGCCCAATGTTTTCATATTCTTTATATCTTCTTTTTTTATTTATTTATTCATCTTATTCAAACTAAAAAAAAAATTTCTTAAATTAAAAATATTGTAATACTTTATTTCTTTTTTTGACTAAATTAGATTTTATTAGTTCTTCTACATCATAAAACATTTTCTTTTCTACATTAACAAAAATTATTTTCTAAACAAATTAAATTAGATTTAGGTTTTTAATTAATTTAAATTTTAGATTTTGATTATATAATTAATTAATTTTTCTTGTAATAAGATTTAATTAATTCAATTAGGTTAACATTAAACTTTTTTCTATCAAAAACCCTAAAAGCAATTTCTTCTCCATCTCTATATTTTATGCATAATTATTGTTGTAATTCATATTTAATGGTTTGTAATAGTAACTAGGGCTTTATTTCTTTCTTCCCCTATTGAACAAAATTGTACCTCCCATTCCCGAAGCGTTGTAATAGCATAGGACATTTAAATTCCCCAATATATCACTTTCCTTATTATTGCTAGTAATTTGGGTTTTGTATGGCAAGATTCAAAATCAAATATTAGACAACCCTAATCCAATATAAAATAATTTAATCAAACACACTTTGCACACATGCACCTCTAGGGTAATCCATACTTGTTGTCTCAGATTAAAGCAGTCATGTCCCTCGAATATGAGACGTTTTAGCAAAAGACCCTCGATTAAAAGATCGTAGTCCCTCGATGACACTTCAATATTGCCTTCGATAAACGATCTTAATCCCTTACGACAAATTGCTAAAAAATCTTACAAGTTTCCTTCTATGACTGTACGATGACTCAGACTCGTCCCTCACATCCAATGATATGGCTTTCTACCAATCAATGGTAAAATAACACTATCAAAAGGAGGAGGAAAAGAATAAAGACTTTTTGAGTAGGCAGGTTGCTCGTAATTGCTTGCTCACAAACTAAAAACCATTTCCATACTTCACACTTTAAAAACACTTTTCAAACAAACATTTTGTATACGTTCTCAACGATACGAGAATCATTACAAAATTTCCTTACATTGGCATCTTCAAAACATCTTTCTAAACACTCCCTTTTAACAAATATTTTCAAAACCAACACTTTGTATACATTCTCAACGATACGAGAATCATTGCAATGTTTTCCAAACTTAGGCATTTTCAAAATATTTTAAAACTTACATAAACACAAAGGCATTTCAAAGTGAGCTAGCAATTAAGAGCCAGTAGATAACTACAGATGAAAAGGATGCTAACACCTTTCCTTTTCATAACCTGCCCTCCGAACTCAAGAAAATTCTCAAAAGGTCTTTCCTGTTCTTTTCACCATTTCCGTTATTGGATAAAAGAAAAGTCGGTGGCGACTCTTGCTATCTGCAACATTTGCGATAAAACGCATAACACCCAAGTAAGTTATCCCACCGTATCACATAACTGGCGACTCTGTTGGGGAGAAAACTAAAAGTGGGTTTACCTTAAGAGCTAGATAACCTTTATTTACTTTATTTGTTTTCCTTGTTCGCTTTACATTTGTGGGTTATGCTTGGGTTTATTACTTGTATAGATCATATACCCATATTTGGGGCATATTAGGTAAGTAGCGATAGATTGTGGGGACTATGTGGCGTAATACCGACATGGTTGAAGAAATGGCTATGTTAGACTGACATATTTGTTGGTACCGGTGTTCCATGAGTGCAGTCAAGGAGAATACGGGACCGCTGTGTGGTGTCATGAAGCACTTACTGACTGTAGAACCTTAGTTGAACAACTTGGCCATTAGAAAGTAGTGAGATAGCTGGATTTTGTGCAAGACTAAAGTTGGTTGATACTCGATACTACACTAATTGAGATCGGTCTTTCGGGATATTTTGGTCGTAGTTTGGATGCTTGAGCTAAAACAATGCCCGATGAAGAAAGATCAGTGATATTGAGATTCCTAGAACCCGATTACTTCTTTTAGGACAGGTTGAACCAAATAAACTTCAAGAGGGTACTTACCTATAAACCCCATGCAAGCCTAAACCTAAGGCCTTGTGTTGTTTGTTTATGTGTGATTTTTTGTTCATAAACATCATGATATTATGCCATAGCATTTTCGCACACCATTTCAAGGACCTAGGGATTTACCTTTATTCTGTTTTGTATGATATAGCTTCCACTCGCAGAAATACCATCTGAATCAACTTCGTAACGATGCCTCCTCAAGTCAAAGATTTAGCATCAAGGGTTCTTGAAAATTCTCCGTTCACCAAAAATATGTTTGACTTCTCAATATGGTTACCTTAAGCTTTGAAGAGGATATGATAAGGGTGCTCTTTCAATTCTTTGACCCTATACATCATTGTTTCACCTTTCCCGATTATCAATTGGTTCCTACAATAGAAGAATTCTCTCAACTACTAGGAGTATATGTTCTTGATCAAATACCCTTCATCGGTTTAGAGGAAACTCCAAAGCCTGAAGTTATTGCCAAGGCCTTACATTTGAAGAGTTCTAACATTGTAGCTAATTGGGAGACAAGAAGTGGGGTCAAAGGCTTTTTGGCTAAATTCCTGATGGAGACGGCTCATTTGTTTTTGGATGATTTGGATTTACAAGCTTTTGAAGAAGTCTTGGCCCTTCTAATCTATGGGTTGGTGCTTTTTCCTAACCCTGACCAACTCATAGATGTGAATATTGTCAAAATTTTCTTTACTCGTAACCCTGTACCTACATTTCTTAGAGACGTTTTGCACTCTCTTCATACTCGCACTATGAGGAAGCGAGGTACTCTCATGTGTTTCTTACCTTTGCTGTCTAGGTGGTTTATTGCACACCTTCCCTGATCAGTTTTAAAGAATGATCATGGTTTAAGGTGGTCGCAAAGAATAATGTCGCTTTCTCATACAAATATCCATTGGTGCTCTCTATCTCAAGAGGACATTACTATCATTGACCATTATGGGGAGTTCCCTAATGATCCACTCTTGGCCATTAGGGGAGGTCTTACTGATAACACTTCTCTGGCTCTAAGACAATTTGTCTATGCTTAAAGAGATGGTCCCCATGACACACTCATTCAAGGTATCATATTCGACTACGAGAAGAATGTCTAAGGTTATCATTGAAGGTTTGTACATGCTTGGCGCATGGTAAGCAAGGTTGATAGAAACACTTTGGGGCATAAGAATTCC